CGGATTTCAACTCTACTCGTCACCCTGATCATTTTGGTATATATAACCCTATATCTGACTCTTTTAGTTTTAGGACTTACAAACAACCGTTATGTGAACTAAACTATAATACTCTCTTTAGCAACATTGCTGCGAGAGTATAAAAAATGTTATACTCTCCGAATTAAATTAATAAATAAAATTAATTAATAATAAATAAAATCAAAAAGTATGTTTTTTTAGACATATGGTTTTCAAGAAGAAATAAAACGCATGTTTAATGTTTTACCGATGAATATAACTTTATTCTTGTGTTTTTTAAGTGATCGCCCCTGCTGGCACGAATAAATTTCAAAAGGGATACCCAATTTTCGACCAAGTACTTATTTTATTTCATAGAAAATATTTATGCTTTAATAAAGAAATAGAGTTTATATTAGCAAAAGCAATTGTCATAAATACATGTTTCCTTACATTTTTATGCATGCTTGATTTGTTATATGCACAAATGAACAAGCATTCCTTTAAGATATCTACATATATATGTGTATATAAGAGAACCACATAAATACGTTTTAATTTTTTCAACAATATAGTCTTAATGAATGTTTCAATCCTAATGAACTTTATACATAAAATTCTACATGCTTTTTGATTAATGTCTGCTCTTTTGCCCGGTGATTTCTTATATTTTTGGCCATTTACCATTGAAGGATGTAAAAAAATTAAAAAATTTTATTTTATTTTCTATTCTGGCATGCAACATGGCTAACGGAATGCTCTCGTATTTATAATTTTCTCCGTAACTTTAGCTTCAGGTTACTTAATGGAACCAGTATTATCGTATATTCACAAAGAAATAATTTCGACCATATCATGAAGCATGTTTAGACATTTTATGCGTTAACACATATACACACCTTCGAAACTACATATATTTACTAAATAACTGTTATGAATATTCTGGAAATTGTATTACCTACCAAGTTTTCAAAAAAAAATATTTCACAACAGAATTGCTGTTTATTTTGAATCGCTTCGAGTATTTGGTATGATACTCCACGATACGATATACATATGTATATGACTTCATATATAATATAAGATGTTGAATAGCCTGCTCGAAAATTTTTAGAGTGCCTAAACTTTGCCGATGTTAACATTTATTAAAAACGTTAACAGGGACGTTATGATGAGCTAATTCGTGAGTGGTTTTTTTCTCTAAATACTGCAATTTGGTTATTTACGAGTTCATTATGGCCAAAATGAACCTCTTCATCATGAGACCTACAGGATGCCTAACGGATTTTAATCAAACGCTTTCTCGGCACAAATAAATGATTTGGAGATTGGCCATTGCCCGTTGGGGTGCTACTGTTATTTATTACGTTTTGAGGATATTGATAAAAACAGCAATCGTCCTGCGTACTATGAGTTTAAAATAAATTAAATACTTAATTCATGAAATCGTATTGTTCAAAATACACCATAAGTTTTTATAAATTTCACACACAAAAGGAAGCGGAAGTATACATATTTATATAACTTGAGAGAAAAAACAAGATTAAGATCTTCATGGAATAACCTTATTCAAAATTGGTGCCGTCCAAGTTCACGTTATTTCTTATTTTTTATACTCCTTCAACATGTTAGTTTTGTTCACCTAAGGGTTGTATGTATCACCTGAAACTAATGGATATAGGATACGAGACGAGTAGAAATCCAGGAGACTGTCTGTCTCCTATTACCGAAAATAGGACCATAACTATGCACTAAATTAAGGTATAAAACTTTGACTTAGCACAGTGGCAAGGGGCACATATGCGATTTTTTTAAATCTCCTAAATCATTAAAGCTACTCAACCAAATTCATCTATCATAAATACTATAAGAACACGTACCGACTCTCCATGTAACAGTAATGTTAAGAACTACTGAAAGCACGATAAATCAATAACTAAATACGACAGATACGTAAATTTTTACCCCCGAGATGGTATGAGAAAGCTTTGTAGAGGGAGGTAAACATTTAACGATAGGTGTGACACCACCCACTTTTATGTGAAATAACATATTTAGGGACCCGCCCAAATGATTTCAACCAAATTTGGTACGAAACATTCCTCTGACCCTATCCTCCTATGTTTCCTCAGCAACGGCTGATTTTCATTTAAAACAATTTTAAATTCCATTTATAACTTTCAATTCTCAGCACACAAGTCAAGAATGAAATAATTTGTACGAATAGAGTATTTCCCACCTAATTAAAAGCTGCGTAAGTTGAACGAAAACTGTTCTCGCGCCTTGGTTTTCAATATGTGGACCCAGTGTTTACAGTCGACCTTTTACCGAAAATATCGATGTGAGATTTATAATTGAAATTCAGAGAATTCATTCCTGATATGTCTGTTTGGCAGAAAAGGGTTCAATCGAGTCAATACTTCCCTTAGCCCCATATATCTAAGATACATAGCATCGGCTGAAAACTCCCATATAACTAACAAGCCATACATATGTACCTGAAGATCCCTGGCTTTAATACTTGCAAGTTGCAAGATTATGAAATATTCGGTTATACTTAGCTCTTCCTTACTTGTTTTTTATTTTAACAATTTGGTTTAAGCAGAAAATTTAAATAGTTTTCGTGAAACGACATTTTTATGTTATTTTTGAACGATTCTTATTTATTATATTTACAGGGATGAAGTAACAAATTTTATTGCTGCAAAATTAAACATAAAACTTAACTTAAATAACGACGAAACCGTCAAGAAAATAGAAACCGATTACATGAAAAGACGCCCACGGTAGCAAATCAAACGCTGTTAACCGAAACCAAATAATAAATCAACAAAAAACAGTACGAGTCATGGCAGGATACACATAATTTTGTTGTGGTATACCTCATCACAAAAAAATAAGTTCAGTAATATCAATTTAAAAATAAAAGCAAAATAAAAGTTCACATGAATATTTGAAAGAATATCATATAAGTGAGACTTAAAATTATGAACACCAGCTCTTCGTCAACTGTTCTTTCATTAGAGTTTGCTCGGATGATGTTAAAACGCCGCGAAAAAGGTCTTAAGATGAAAGCAATTGCAGCGCAGTCGACTGTCAGCTATGGTTTGGCGCAACAACCAATTTTTCTGCATACAGAAATTTTAAACACCTCCAAGAATGCCTACGATTTATTCGCAGCCAAAATGTGGCAGTTATCCAATGCGGCAATTTATTCCAAGTACAACCGTCGCAGACAAACACCTATCCAACAAAACGTATGTGGTGATGATGGTGACGTTGGTAAGAACGGATGTGTTTGTGATTACAAAACTCCATGTAATCGACAAAAACTACGACAAAATATTCTAAACAGTAAATGTATGCAACATCGAAAGTTAAAGCAAATTAGATCGTCTAAGCAAACCACCAGCTTACAATACCGACCAAATATCGACGGCGTTGCGGCAACATTTGAGACTGCGCTAGAAGTCGAGTTAGTAGCAGCACAAGAAATCGCAATAAATGGTAGCGTTGATCAAACCTCGACTGCAACTATGCGGTCAGACACTAGTGCTTACATATGTGCTGACGCGGATATAAGAACAACCGCAAAAAATGAGCTTGCGTCCACACTTCTATCGAAGGAAGCACTTTTTCACACTAATGTCAATGCAACTTGCAGCCATGCTATGATACCGTCAACTCTAAAAATTGGTAAGCCGATTAAAATAACAACAACACTAAAAACAAGCTTTTTAAGTTTAGTTCGAAATGCATTTTTCATGATCGCTTTAATATTAACGGTATTGACTCTGCAACGGGCGAGCGGACAGTATCTATTGTCCATAGCTGCAACTACAGCGGCTGCGACTGCGACAACGACCAGAACAGCGAGAGATATGGGAGCAACAACTACAATTCCTGTGAGTTCTACGACTGTTAAAAATATGTTCGACATAACTGAAACAAATAATTTTAATGATATACAACCCCGCGAACCTCAAAAAATAAAAATAAAAAGGCATGATAGTGCACAGAAACAAAAAAAATCATATGTCGTTCGGAAAAATAATCATCTCAGCCATTTCAGCCGTGTTTCTGCAGCAAAACAACAAAACGCTAACAGCCAGATTCAATTTAGTAAACTTATTTATAATAACTATAAGAAAAGGAAGTTTTTTAATGAGGAGCAAGTTGAAGTGAAGAAGATAATACCATTGCAACAGAGACGTCGCAGCAAGCGCAGTACAGTTGAGTCTATTGTTACACAACTAAAAAGTAATAATACGGAATCAGACATCAATAGCAATAGAAATAGTAAAAACCATCGTACTTTTAAAAGCGAATTATCTGGCAATTCAAATATAACCACCAATAGGTATAACAATAAATTTACCGTTGAAGATTCAAATCAAAAAACGCATAGTGCAAATGATCAAAAACTGCTTAAATTGGTAATGGATGGATTAGGTCTAGAACAATTACCTAATATGAAGAAAGTAAGTAAACAGTACATGATTTGTTAGATACTAAGACACATATGAACTCTTACCGTTAAAATCTTCTAGCTCAAATATGAACTAAATGAACCTTACCAAAGCTTTCCTTTAGCACATGCTTCCTATTATGCATATGATTCTTTCTTGGTGGAGAAATTATTTGTTTCACGTCAAAAACGTTTTAGTAACCCCCTTAGTTTGGTTTCTGTAAACTATTATAATTGATTTTAAGACTTATTATTTTATTTCAGAGAAAAATTAATTTTTACAATTTCATTTATCATTTGAGTATTTGCTCTAAAATATGCAAAACAAAACTTCAAGATGGCGGTTGAGATATCCGCATACTCTCTTTACGAATTTATTTAGATTACTATAACGCTATAAAGAAGAGAGCAAAGCAATTGCGAGTCAAAGACAGTAATTAATTTGATACCATCGATTTTCCTTCGTTTGGCAATTCGCTGTTTGCAGGGCTTGCCTGTATACATAGACAGTTGCCTAGGGAGCAAGAATTTTAAAGCGGCATTTTGACAAATTTTATTTATATGTTTTATTTTTTTTTTTAGTTAAATATTTCATTTGTTATAATATAATATACAAAGGTTATATTTTCGAAATTCTAAACCGAATTGTAAACAAAAAGCAAGTAAGTATTTTTAGTAATTTTTTTAGCAGCGCTTAGTAAGCCTATGTTGCTATACGCTGATTGCGAGTAATCAGTTAATTTACACACAAAATATGGAATAAATATTGATGTAAGTAGATCACAAACGGCACCAGTTCACTTGAGAAAGCAGAAAGGAGAGTGGGAAGATGAGCCAGTTTATAATTTTGAAATTAATTTATATTTTGTCGTTACTAGTACTAACATGCATTGTTCTAAATATATTTATAGTAATACGGTGTTGCAAACACTTCCAGTGTAAGTAGCAAGAGGAGAGCGCAGTTTTCTCAATTCAATTGAGTGATATTTAAATCCGTTTTTAACAAAATGAACTCAGCAATTTTCAAGTTATAAATATTGTTTTTAAGACAAAATGGGCTTAGAAAGGCGCAGAATTTGGCATTTGCCTAGGGCAGTAAATTGTCTCGTATCGGCCCTGGCTCTGTATGCAGATTTAATTATAGTAAAATGTTCTACAAGTGACGAAACTTAGATGACTTTTTCGGCATTACACTTAACGTGGTGAATACCGCACATTAAACAAAACACTTGCATTCAATTTTATGAAACTTTGTTTTCTAAATGCGTATAACATGGACCTAAGTTAAACGCATTTCTGACTACAAACGTCAATTCGTACTTTGAGTTATTATTGTTTATTCTCATTTAAATTTTATACACAAGAACAATAGGAAAGTAGGTAGAGAATTAACAAAAGATGCGGAAACTGCAATGAATGTTTGACGAAGGATATAAAAGAAAAGACGCCAGAATAACCTGAAGAGTTATGAACTCACGATGGTGCCAACCGTTTATCTTTTAAAGATAATTAGCGTAGATAACAGAAAATCAATTTCGTACTAAAACAAGGAGATTTATTCAAAAACACGCCTATAAGTGTGAGTGAATCTGTATTTGTCTACATGTGTTTATCCCAAAAACATATGCACACATACATATTCATCCATCTCCCTTGACATCTGTAGAATATACTCATGAAAGACTATACATTAGGGCGTTGTATGAGAAGTTAATTCTTTTTTTGCAAAAACCCCTTTAAGTTCCAGTTTTTGCCTTAAAAAGGATCCAACACAAAAGCTCTTTATTATACCCTGAACAGGATATATTCAGTTTGCCACAAGTTTGTAACACCCAGAAGGAAAGGTCGGTGATCTTATAAAATGTAAATAATCAGTAAGACAAACTGAGTCGGTATAACCATGTCAGTCTATCTATCCGTCCGTCTATCTGAAAACATGCGAACTAGTCCCTCAGTTTAAAAGATTTCGATCTGAAATGGTCCACACGTCCTTATCCCTAAGAAGCTGCTAAACGCCCTACATATGCAACCATATTTTTTTTTTGTATCTTCACAAGATTTGGCACAGATTATTGTTTAAATACAATCTCAGAATAAATTGTTTAGGTGCAAACATATCAATCAAAATCAAATTTTTGTACGGAAATTTTTTAAATTATATTTTAAAGGGCATTTGACATTGCTTCGGTTCAGTCGAAGTTACCTCTTTGTCTTGTTTCAAATTTATACAGTGCTTAAATCATATTTCCATAACATATCGTATTTTTTCATTTATCTTGACCAACCGACACGAGCCTTTTTCGGAGCGATTGACAAATTGTGTGGGATCTAAAGTAAACAAATTTTTTTATAATTGCAATATTGAATGAATGCTGGTCTAATTAATACTTACATCATGATGATTTTGCGCACAGCATCAATAGTTTCGGGAACAAAAGCTGATTTTGTACGATCTTCGTCTTAGAACGATCTACGACATCAATTGAATTCACTATACCATCGCTAAGCACTGGTCCTTCATGAAGCTTTATCGCCAAAAATTTATTCAGTTCATCGTTGCATCGTTTGCTGAGTAAAGTCAGCCGGATGTTCGAAAATACAGATATTAGTTTTCTAAAGGGTTTCGCTCAAATTTATCTATTTTAGGCACAAGGAAAATATGCTCTTTCAGTTTTATTGAGATAACTCACATAACGCCGATATATGCGGTACAAAGTAGACAGTAGCAGACATACCATTATAAGAAAATGGTTATCCTTTAATCCAAAAGTCAAATGTAGGTACCGGGGTATAAATATTCGGTACCTAGGCGCTTGAACAGTGTTTTGTTGGATTTGGGCAATTTTTTCACGTAAGATGGCACACACTAAACACATTATTCGCGTAAACTTTTATTACGTTATATTGATTGCTTCTTAATTTGTGTAGGGGAAACTGATCGAATCAAGGGAATTCAAAATTGTGGTATATGTGAAGTAGACCTGGTTGTTGTCCGATTTCATCCATTTGCGCTATACCACATAAGAATATAAGAAGAATATCACATACTAAATTTTGTCGAATTGGGTCGGGTCCTGAGATGTGAGATTTCTCCAAAAAGTGGTCTTTCATCACATTTTCACTGTCGGTAGAAGTTCTTATAAGATTTGCACTCAACGAATTTGGGTAATCTCTTTTCCATTTTTCTAGGGATTACTTTCCCATTTTTTTTTGTTTTTGCATTTTCTGTTCCCATATACCCGTAGAATTAAAAAGAAATCCACTTTATTATTGAAACGTTTCGAAAAAGGCCCAAAAATAATAATACCGCTCAACGTTTGGAGCGCTCGGAGTATACGTCTTTGTATGCTTTTTCAATACCTCAAACTTTAAACGTGTTTTTCTCAAAACACGCTTTTTTAAACTGGCGGACATGATTCCCCATTTCATTCACCCAGCCATTTCTCCGACAGATGGCATCAAAAAACTCTAAAAAAATTGTTTATACACTCACGATATACCTCATGATATGTGAAAGAAGTTTTTTGTTGAATAAAAATTTCTATGAAAAAAAAAATGTCAAAAAACAGGCTAGATTGCCCTACTGACCCCTTAAGTGGTTTAGAAGATATGTACATTAAATTGATTAGTTTCAACAATTTTTGCCCACAGGTGTCCCTTGCTACTGCAATCCTGTGTACCGATTACCCCCATTTACGAACTCCAATTTTGAAGAACAGTCTTAGTATATGGGTTCTAATGATTGTTGCTCCTGAACAATGCAGTTATTTAAGACGAATTCATCAGATATTTTTAATACCACGACAAAAAATGGCATTGATATTTTCGTCGTCAAGGCATTGCGGCTACTTTGCTAGATTTTGGGCGAAGGACGCAAATCGACACCTTACACAAAAAATAGCGAAATAGCTGCAATATTGAAAAAGAGGTGAATTATGACTTGAGATATTAAGGAATATTTTCGAAGCATTGCACAGAGCAGTGCCATATTTAAACGGAAACCATGAAGTATATGCGTACAATTTAAAAGTGTTCCTTTATCAAAAATAATACAATTGCTAAATATCGAGAATGGTAGAATAGAACTGCAACTAAATACGAAGTGCAATAGATCATAACTGGCTCATTAATCAGTGGATGAATACTATGCTACGTGCATCACAAAAGACAGATACCATAGCATTGCCAGCCGACTTTTCCTTCTTTCCATGCTTGTGGACCGGTTCATCATGTGCAGTCCAATAGGGTGGCTGTCGATTGGACTCCAGTGCGAAATGATGGAACCATGTTTCTATTGTCAGACACCGACGCAAAAATTCGATTTTATTACGATTAAAGAGCACTCAAACTCTCCTCAGAATCAGCAATTCGTTGTTTTAGTTGAATTATGAATATGCGCGGCACCCACTTCGCACAGAGCTTTCGCCTCTATAGGGCGTCTTCTGCCTTCATTGTCGCTTCTTTTCAACGGTTGATTTCCCTGGTTCAGAGCCCAAATTCAACAGTATTGCAAAAATGAAATCTTTATTAACACACAAAATGCTTTTTGATAAACTTCTTTTTTTGTAAACTAACCCAAAATGCTATATCTCATTAACTAATAGTTCCTCAGTTGTCAAATTTGTATACGTTGTCACTAAGAAATTCATTAATTGGAGCTATGGTTACCGACGTGCCTCCCTTTCGTAAATGGAAACTCACTTTTATCGTCCGTAACGAAGATATTTGCGCAAATTGGATTTTTTTTTTCGTAGAAACCAGTTAGCTCTCTTAGATTGCTCTCTTAAACTCAGGGTTGCCAGTTTCGATATTTTGTAGTAATTAAAAAATAAACTTGAATATATTTGAAATTTTTTAAAAGTAATTCAAAATTATAGTTGGGTACAATTATTTATAAATAGATAGACAATTTGTTATAATTGGATTTTAATTTTGATGTTTTACATTATGAAAAAGTATAACAACTGTGATCAAAAGAGATCAACAACAACTACGTTGTCACTATGGAAGGGC